ATGCTGAATTAAAATACGAAAAAAAAAATTGTGAAACCGTTAGAGGTCAATTTTTTTTAATGTAAAATTATTTACATTCAATACAAAATATCGTACTTCTTCTAGCTTTATTAACTTAAAAATTTATATCAAACAATACAATTGGCAAATTTGAAATGAATTTTGACTCGACTGTAGTCTGTATGTATTAGCCTATCAAATTATGAATTTTGAATATATCCACTAGTTTATAGTGCATCATTACATATATATACGTGCATGCGATCGGGGTATCCGAGTGTTTGTATTGCGCACTGACATTCGGAAGGCTCGGGCTCAAATCCGTGTGCAACCGAAATTCAAACAGTTATAGAAAATTAATTTAAAATAAAAAATTAAGTTAAATTTTCTAATTGCGGTCGAAGCTCGACAGGGAATATCAACCCCTCCGAGTGTAATTCTGATATGAAATAATGGCTCCTCACTAGAAACGATCAGCCGTTTACTATAAACTGTATGTTTCCATTTTTTGAAAAAACGTCAAGACAAACAAACAAGAACGAGCAAAGCGAGGATGCACCAAGGAGTGGCTTGCAAACCAGTATCTTAAAATTTCATTTGTTGCTTGAGTAGCGTGACGATTATGTGCACCACGATCTTCTCTTAAAGCACGAATCTTCAGGATACAGCTAAACAGAAGAGACTATGCTTTGTTTGGATCTTTGAATCACCATTTTTGTAGGAGGTTTTCAAAATTTTAATGCTTTGTGCTGTTAATAAATGCCTGACTTTTAACTAAAACAAAACATATTTGGTTTGACAGTTAAATTTGACAGATGTAGTTTTGAGATGTCGAAATGGGCGGGCATAAAGGTGTTTATCTGCACCAGGGCTTGGTTTAGCATAGGCTGTTAACACGGCATTGCAATAATTTGGAATTTTTGAGAATTTTTTTTTTTTACCCCACAGTGTTTGACTTTCTACATAACGCGAGTTTGGAAGACTGTGATTTGATCTTCTTGATAATTTCCTTATAATCGCCAACAGTCAAATCGGAAAAAAACATACTCGCGCCTGCCTGCCCACTCAACAACATATTTATGTATATGTATATAGAGTAGATCACGCGTGAGTCAGCAGAGCATATACACATGTATAAATGTATATATATATATATATCTGTGGGTTTCGACTTAATTTTCTAACGATGCGTAACACACTAAAATACATGAACTTTTCATGGGTGCATTCGTTGCACTCATTGTGATTTGCAAAACAACACATCAATATATACACATACCCGTAGAGGAGCAGCTGGTTACCAATGCAACAAATATGCATTGAACGGAGCAGCCAAATAGGCAGCCACGCAGCCAAAGCGAACACGCACAATACGCATCTGTTGACGCAACAACACAACTGTGCAGCTGTGCATTTGCATTTAAATACATACATAAATACATGCAAACATTTGCATTAGAATTTTTTCTAAAATTAAATCTGTTTTTTCTAAGTTTACGCAATTTTGTGAAAAAAAAAATTTCTTTATTTATTTTTTTTTTTTTTTCAATTTTTTCTCAGCGATGCAATTCAATCAGCACGCACATTTGCACAAACGCATTTTGAAAATTACGCATCACCGTGCTTGCGCTTTTTATTTTGCTTTTACACTTAAAAAGAAAAGTTTTGAATTTATTTTTATTTGTTTGTTAAATACATTTTGCGTCGTGTTTGTGGCGGCAAATTAACCCAAATAATCGACGGCACACAATAAATCAGTTGTAATTGCAAAAGTTTATTTGCCTCTTTTGATGGTTCTTTATTCTACGTAAAATATCGTGCTTGTTGCTGTTGTTTTTTGGTACTTAAGATTTTCGTATTTTCATTTTTTTTTTGTTTTACGTGTTCGCACAGCTCATCTGTTGTTCTCGAAATGTAATTCACTCATGTCTGTGAAGTTATTTTTTGGCAATTTAAGTGCAACGCGAAATTTATTGCCGACACGTAATGCAACGGCTATTTGGGTTTCTAGGAAGGCGAAAAGAAATTATGTGAAGTGCTTGTGCCTCTTCTTCTTATTATTGCTTACAATGTATTGCACAGCAGTGTTGGTGTCATGTTGTTAATCGGTTTGTTGAGATTTCGGTGGCTGAAGCTTGAAAAGTCCTTCTTTCAAATTTCCACTGCTTTGCTGGTAGTTTCAATTTAGTCTAGTAAAAAGTTATCCTTTTTTATCCAATTTATGTTAATTATGAATCTTTTTGCCATTTTGTAGGTTATGTCATTATGTCTGCCCCGACTGGCAAAAAACTTTGCAGCCTCTATAGGCTTGTCTAAGCAGTCTACCAACCTTTCACCCCGCGTTAATTTTCCTGCAACTCACACAGCAGGATGGCGACCGCAATAGTCGCGTGGTTAGCAACTTTCGAGGGTCTTCAGAACGGCAGTACTCCCGGTTCGACCAACATACAAAATTTTAGAATTTTAATTTCTTTAATTGCCGTCGCTGCTCGGCAGAGAATGCCAAGCTCCCCGAATGTATTTCTGACATTAAATAAAAAAAAAACTCTTCCTAAAAATTCATCGGTCGTTCGGAGGCGGTTCAGAATAAATTTTAGGTTCCTCTCTTTGTTAGAAAACATCAAGACTCATATCTTAAATTGGAGGAGGGACTCTGCTTCAGCGGTTGTATAGGTTGGCAGACTGGATTGCTTCTAAGCTTTCCACTTTTGTCTCATAAGAGATATTATTAAATGTCTCCAGATACACCGCCAAGGCGTATACTTTATGCTTCACAATGAGTGAAGTGCAGCCTCCATAGATCTACACTTCATATAAGCTTGTTTAGCCCTTGATATGCTGAAACGGCTTATTCCTAAAGGAGACGTCCTTAGAAGGAATAAGGTTAGACCAAATCAATCAGTTAGTATTCTTTCGATTAGCTAGAGAATTCTCCTTGTCCGCCTTCAGAAGGAGTGCGATCCTCGCCTCTCCTCAAGGACAAGCATATAATTTTGCCTTTAACATTCCTCATTTACTATTCTTAAGTATGATGCGAGTACAGCGGAAATTAGTTGTAACAAAAGTGGAAAGATATCGTTTGTGCCTGGAGACTTAAACGGTACGAGGCGATCGATTGTCCATCATATTTTGTCTACAGTTATGATACCCGCTTCTTTGATGCCCCTTAAATTTTCCACGCTATCTTCTAAAACCTGTTTATCCACCAGGAACAAGTATGTTGACTAAATCTTCCAGTGAGTCCTCACTGCTTGCAGTACATTCTCCACATTTTTATCGTTGTAATCTTGAAGTAGTCAGGGTTTTGTTGACGATTTGCTTAGCCTTGTCTTTTGCAATTCACACAGAAGCGCTTCCATGACTTCCGCCTATATCTGCAAATCTTGCTTGAAGAACAAACAGTGAACGATGATTTTTCGAACAATATTTTCTTCATCGCTCAGGAGATTCGCAAAAAAGCAAGCAAAATTCTCCCATTTGACGCTCCAAGTATCCTCAAATAAGTGAATACGTCCAAGAAAAAACTTGCTGTCTCCTACGCTCTTTAGTCCGGTGTTGTGATTGGACCCTACTTTTTTGAAAAAGGCAACGACTAGATTGACACTGTCAATTCGGAGCATTAGGGTAGTAAGCTAATCGATTTTTTTTTACCTGGAATTGAAGAACACGATTTGGACAATATTAGGAGTTCACAAAATGGTACCAAATGTCACACCGCACTAGCGAATATGGTTTTATGTCGCGAGAAGCTTCCCGACCGCATAATCTGTCGTCTTCGTGATATTAATTGGCCAACGAAGTCGAGAGATTTGATGTCGTTGGACTTTTGTTTGTGGAACCACATGTTGTTGTTGTTGTTGTTGTTGTTTTTGTTGTTGTTGTTGTTGTTGTTGTTGTTGTAACCGCAAAATTATTCGCCAAAGTACTTTTTGGGGAATGTTGCGGGAGTGACAGTCCTTGGACGGATAAAAATCCGGGTCGTTCCGGTAGACCCGACTGTCGCGGGAACTATTGGATTTTAGTCGCCTCTTACGACAGGCATACCTTACTGCGGGTAAATTCTTGAGCCCCTAACCCGCAGGGGCGTGTGGAACCACATGAAAGACCGTGATTACGCGAGTAGACCTTTAAATCTGGAGCACTTGAAAACCAAACTTTCCTCAAGTTATGGCCAAAAAGAGTTCGAAAATCATTCGCAAGGTGATCATTTGAATGATTTCGTGTTTCACATTTAATGACAGGGTTCAAACTTTATAAATGCACTTAGTTTCCGTCTATTTTCGAAACGTAAACATGGATAATCCTGCATAAGTTTTCATCATTTAAAGGAATAAAAAATTACAGAATTTCTGCATAGCTGCTTCTTCTTCATCTTTCATCTCTGAACTGGGAAGTTAAGCGACGGACACACGTAGTTCGGCAGCTACTTTGAAGTCTTTATCACGATTGTCGGTAACCTTAAATTCATGCAATTGAACTGCTAAGGATATACTTATATCCTTCTTACCCCCATATTTCACTATTCTCGTCATTTACGGGGTTCCCATACATGTTTTCTAAATTGGCTGTAGGGTTTGCCTGAAAATTTCAAAATTTGAATAATCAGATAATGATCCTAATCTCCGCAGATTCCTTGACAATAGGAATTCGATTCTTATATACAAGTTAACCTTTGCTTGTATCGTCTCCATCTATAAGAGAATTAATATGCTCTTTTTTTAAAGACGACTTTGTACTACAATACAATTCTTGGCCTGTTTGGTGGCCAGGATGCCTGAGAGGTAGCATTTTTCATGACAAAATTTATGTTGATATCTCAAAGCGAAGCGCGCGATAATATAGAGTTTCTTAAACTAAGATATTGTTGTAAATTGAACAGGATTTTAAGCGACAGAAGTTCAAAAGAATCAACTAGTTTTACTTTTTATATTAAATAAATTTAAAAATTCTCTTTTCATCTCAAACTCATTAATATATATCCGTCTCTGTGTATTTTCCAGGCAGCAGCCCGTCATCAATGTCCCTACTTGGTGAAAATGTACGAGAAAAAGTTCATTAATCAGGGCGGCAATGCCGAGTGGCTGAACGGCTTAGATTATATCCCATCAAAATTACGTGCCATATATGATATAAATAAAATTCTGGCTCATCGGCCGTGGCTGCTGCGTAAAGAGCACATCGAGGTGAGTACAGCGAGAGAGTATAACTCTCTTCATATATATATATATATAGAGAGAGAGAGCGAGCATAAATATGCTTCTCCATAATTGTAATCATTGAACTAATCAATCGGCAGAGTGATTTTCATCGCATACATCCATTCGGAAAGCCAGGGTTGATAGTATGGTACGATCAACAACCTAAAATTATAAAATATTCATTTCAATAAGAAATTCAGTTAAATTTTCTAATTGCGGTCGCCCCTCGGCAGGAAATGTCAACCCCGCCGAGTGTGTTTAGACATGAAGTTAAGGCTGCTCGTAAAAAAACCCATCAGCCGTTCGGACGCGGCTTAGTATAAACTATAGGTTCCCCCATTTGTTGGAAAAAACATTAAGACACAAAACTACAAATCGGACGAGCACCTCACCCGAATCATAAAAAAAAACCATCTAACCATTTCTCTATTTACTCGCCCACAGGGTCTCACCAAAGGCAAGAACAGTTGGTCGCTGTCCGAGGTCGTGCACGCAATGGTCTTGCTTTCACATTTCCATTCGCTCTCCTCCTTTGTATTCTCCTGCGGTCTCACACAAAAACTGGACGGCTTGTCTAGTCCGAAACTGAAGACGGCGCCCGCAATATTACCAGGCGTACAGCAACAGCAGCAGCAGCAGCAGCTGCAGCAACACCTGCAGCCGGCGGTGCACCAGCAACATCAGCCGCAACAAATAGCACATCAACAACTACAACAACCGCAAAAGACTGTCTTGAGTGAGATAACGATCAACAATAACAACAATTTGCTTGATCACAGCCATCAAATGTACAATAATAATGCGCAAAATGTTGGCGGCAATACGTCTGCGCCCACCGACATCACCATGAATGGTAGCAGCAGTAATGGTGTAGCGAAACATACTCGTAAGCATACATACATATAAAACTAACACTGATAACACCTATGCTATCTCATTGGGTTAATAATAATTTTTGCTTTCAAATTTTACAGCCACCTCTGGCGGCTCTCCACAACCGAATGTGCCCGTGGAAGCGCTGGTCGAACGCATGAAGGTGCTCTCACAGAATCACGACGAGTGCAGCGAAGCGGAGCTAAGCAATCGTTTCAAGAGCGTGGAGATGCAAACGGCCGAAATGCTCGCTGCCGCACCCGAAGCCGCCGTCGCAGTGCCACCGATCATTTCACACTACATCGAAGATCCGAACTTCACCTATCAAGACTTTGCGCGTCGTGGCGCCGAAAATATACCCTCCACCTTTCGTGTACAGGACTACTCGTGGGACGATCACGGTTACTCGTTGGTGAACAGGTAAAGAATTAATGTTTTTGATACGAGAGATTTTTTTTTTTTTTGTTTTGCTAAATAAAAGCGTTCTTTTCCCAATCCTTTAGTCTCTACAGCGATGTTGGCACGCTGTTAGATCAGAAATTCCGTGCGGCCTATAATTTGACGTACTTCACCATGGGCGGTTATCGGAATGTGGATACGTCGAAATTTCGCCGCGCCATATGGAATTACATACAATGCATCTATGGCATACGTCACGACGACTATGATTATGGTGAAGTGAATCAGGTGAATAAATGCGTACGTGTATCCGAACTTTTTTTCCGTACTACAAACAATGCGAAAAGGCAAAACTCAATGTTTCTTTGTATTTATATTATTTATGTATGTGTGCTGCTTAGTTGCATGGTGTTGGTAGAGAAAAAATTCCGCTTACTTCAATTAGACAATATGCAATTGGTATTGGTATTGGTTGGCTTATAAGTATTTTTTTGAAAAAAAAAAAAAATATTTTTAAATTAAAAAAAAACATTAACGAGTATATATGTGCATACAGTGAAACCTGGTTGAGAGAGAGAATACCAGGGCTGTGAATTTTGTACGCTCATTAGTCGGTGTTTCGCTACAGCCGAGCGGTCAGCAATGCCTACTGCCATTCGGTAGGCCAAGGATCAAGTTTTGGTTCGACAAACATCCAAAATTATGGTTTTTCTACTAGCGGTCGCCCTGCAACCCCGCAAAAATAACATCAGCCGTTCGGAAGCGGCTTAGTATAAACTATAGGCCGATCCAAATGGAGTGGACGTTGGGCCGAAATCGCTTCGGCGACTATAAAGCATATCCATGTGATGCAATATATTAACTTTGATCTGCAGTATGTGAGTATAAAAATTTATGACGATCGGTTCAGAATGACCAGTTGAGCTGATGAAACAATGTCCGTTTGTCCGCCTGTTTGTATTTAAATTAGCCCCTAAATGAATCCACCATATCGGACACTATAAGATAAATAAATATTTATGAACGACTGATTTTTCAGATTTGAGGTTTGGGGTTATAAATCCATTCATATGCAAGTAAGGGTCTGGGAGTTGCTATTTCATTGAAGTCAAAAGGACTTATAATAAAGCCTACATACAACCGACTTATTCAGAATTAAGAATTTGGATATCAGAAGAGCATTCTAAGAGCATGAAATTTGGTATGCTCCGCGCATACAACGTAACTTTGTGGGTGTATTCTGCAGCGATAGTCACAACATCGTTAAGCCGGGGAAAATCTTCAAAATATTGGCATTAACTCAAAATCACACCTTTCATGGGGCATATGCTTGACTCATTCGTCATCCATTGGTCCAGTTATGGGGCTGCACACACACTCATTGTCGATTATAGAGCTACAGGCTCTCAGTGGGTATCAGCTATACGGGTCAGGGCGAGAAAAGCGACTGTCAGCTATCAGATCAGATTTTGGCATTTCACTTATGGAGGTTTTCGGTAGCGAAAGTGTGATGCCTGATAATTGTTCTCCTATTTGTTTTTTTTTTACACAGTTCTCTCTTACCCAGGTTTGACTGTGCTGATATACTCGAAAATAATATAATAATTAAGCCTACAAAAAATGGTTTCTGCGGAATGTGAAAATCGTTGTTTCAGTGTTTTCAATAACAAATGTTGTCGGTGCTCTAATATTTATAAGAAGTTACTAACAAATTATTAAAATTCAAAAATGTCTCATTCTAACCTAAAAATTGTTACGTCGTCTACACTGTGCATAATTACAGTTGATTCTTATGGAATTGTACACGTGAAGACCTCACCTCCACACCTTTCAAATACGCTTAATTTTGATCGGAATAATCCGTGTAAGGTCAATCGAGGGCACTAGAATGAATATCTCACTTTTTGTTTCTTTAAAGCTGACGAACGAGATTTTCAGCCCAGCTCCTTCTCAAATATGAGGCGTGCGTCTTGATAGCTTTCAAAAAAATGGAGAGATCTCCATATTTATGCAAGTAACCTACAGGCGATCGACGAATATTGACCAGAACAGTACCGGATTATGAACTTATCGCCCTTGTCGTAGGAAATTTTATAAAATTTTGATGAATTAATCGCTTCGCCTCAGCAAATGGAAGGAGCTACAGTTTGATCTAAGCCACCTCTGAACGGCTGATGGTTTTCCCTGAGTGGCTTAAGAATATTTAAGAAGAAAAGTTAGTGTAGATTTCAGGTTAAGCTTTAGTATATGATGGACTACTTGGTAAGTGAGCAAGCGAGTGTCACATAAACAGTTAAGTTGCGAAGAAAATGCCGATATAATTTCATTATGTCCTCTGCCATAGGGCTTGTGAATTTAAAATTAGTTCAGTGACCACTCAGAGTCCTTTCCGAAAAGGATTTGCTTGGTTTCTCTAGTGTTAGAAGATTATTAGATCACTACAGACTAGAAGAATCGAGCAATCACAATGTTTCTGGTGTTAGTCTAACGTCTCATAAGGCTGAAATGAGATCTGAGTCTGCACACCATTTCAAATCAATGTGGCAGCTTAAATCCGGAGCCGCTAAATTTGAGTTCCCCACAAAATATTCCCCTACCGATCTTTCTACTTAGCCTTGGTGTTTCCGTAAAAACGTCCTCTGACCCTCGCTTTTATGCACCATGAACAGCCCAATCGCACTTAGAGAGAACGAAATTGGTTGAGTGCTGAGGGCCACTTTGGAGACGCAGTGATGTCATACCGTTGAACAATATACGCTGAAAACTTCGAATGTAGTTCTCTACCAAACTAATCATGAGAGAAATATTGGTTATTGTTTTCGATTTTGGACTTATATTGGAGTACAAATGAATTCGGTACGTTTTTCGTAAAAAAAAAGTATTTTTCATTAAAATAATTGTAAAAAAGAAATACATCATTCCATTATTGTTCGTCAGAAATTCCTGCTTTTTCCCCAACTCTCTGGTATTTTTGAATACCGACTACAAAAAATTAGTCCACTCTGTCCTCGATGCAATTATTGAGATTCTTTTTTCGATTTCTTCAAAATACTCGAACCGGTGACCCCCCCAAAAACGCTTTGCATCTGTCCAAAAAGCCAGTAGTGTAAGGGAGGGAGCAAAGTCAGGAGAAGCTGGCGCGTGGGATAAGATCTCCCATTTCAGGGGTTTAAAGTAGTTTTTTCTCCGTTACAGCAATGTGGTACTGAGCGCTGTCCAAATCAACCTACCTGGCCTTGCGTTCTTTTCGTTCGAACCATTTTTCACGCAATGCACGGCTCAAACGCAGTTGTTATAGTCGACAACGTTTTCCATTACTGTTTTCGGCTGGTTTTAGTAGCTCTTACTACACTACACCCATCTGATTGGTGGCATCATTATCCGGCACAGCAGCTTTGGCCTCAATGTAGACAATGATGGCGTGGGTTCATGGGCCTAATATTTTTTCTTCCTGGGGTTATCTTAGCATATCCACATTTGAAACCTAGCCAAGATTCATTGCAAAGGTGAAAAGCCAACTTTTGACATCTCTCAGCTTCAACTTGTACCACAACCAATTTCTGCAAATCTGCGAGTTTGGCTTGCCTTTAGCTTCGAACTTGTTCCAATAAAGCCTCCAACACGTTGTCTTCAAAATTTTTAGCTTGACGAGGACACTCTGTCTATATAGAGCGGAAATGCTAAATATAAATCGATCCTCACTTGAGTATAAAAGTATATTTCATTAAAAAAAAATTGGACAATTTTTGTAAATTTAATTTTTTTGTTGTTATTGTTTAACAAAATTTCGTAAATTGTATGCATAGTACATCGTTAGAAATTCAATGTCTACAACTTAAAGCGCACAAGTAAATAATCAAAAAAAAAATGCAAAAGTTTTCTAAAAATGATTGCACCGAAAAAAAGTTCACTATTACACTATTATATGTATATGCTATTATTATATAATATAATCATATATATGTAAATACTACATACTCGTACATGTGCTTCAAAAAAAAAAAAACCAAGAAACTCATTGCTAATATTTTTCAAAATAAAATTTTATTGTATTCCTAATTATTTTACAGTTATTGGATCGACCATTGAAAATGTTCATAAAAACAGCCTGCTGCTTCCCAGAACGGATTACCACAAGGGACTATGATAGTATACTCGTTGAGCTGCAGGACAGTGAAAAGGTGAGGAAAATTACAGTAATATTTATAAAATTGGTTCAGTAAGAAATTAGTTCAATTAGTCCAGTATGTTTGCATTAAATTGAAGGCTTCATTTGCCATTCTTGGAAATATCCGATTTATGTCGAATATACTCCATTTTGCTCGACAAACCCTTGTTCCTGGACTATAGATTTTCAAGAGCTTCTCTTGAAGCCAATACTTCAGCAGCCAAATAATTCGCCGAGGACATGAACAGATTGTAATCACTTGATGCGAGGTCCGGTCTATAAGATGTATGCATAAAAACTTTCCAAACAAGCTCTCCAAACATCATTATGTTGTTGTTGTTGTTTTAACCGCAAAAATATTCTCCAAATTACTTTTTGGGGAAATTCGCGGGAGTGACAGTCCTTGGCCGGAACAAAATCGAAGTCGTTCCGGGGTAAAGACCCGACTGCCGCGGAAACTATTGGATTTTAGTCATCTCTTATGACACGCAATCCTAACCGCGGGTAAATTCTTGAACCCTTAACCGCACATCAGTATCGATGTGTGTGATCTAGAGTCGTCCAGAACAACACACATTTCGTCTTCCATTCGACAAAGCTGGATACAATTGTTGACGCTACGAATCAGCTTTTTGCCCACTCACTGCTCTTCGACCACAATCGTTTTCGTTCGCCTCTGCCGAAAGTGATCCACTTTACAGAACCAGCCACCACCCACTTTCGATTTTGTTACAATTCAGCAATGATTCGCAAATGGAAATCCGGTGCATGAAGTTAACTCATGCATCGAACTTCTTTGTGTATCCAGCCGTTTTCAAGTCGCTCCAAACTGTTTTTTGTGCAATGCTACAGAGCGATCGGAGCTATTCACACAATCAGCTGCCTGAAATGTGTTTTCGCTTTTATCGAAGAGTAATTATAGAATCTAGCGTATTTATTCTCTTTGCTGGTGTCCATCTTTGACTTGCGCTCACACTCAATAGGGAGTTAAGGGATCAACACTTTTCTCGTAATCTTTTATTTATAGTAGAAAATATCATCTAACGTAATCGAATCACTGTTATAGAACGCAAACTACAGATCCCCAAGGACATCTATGGCAAAAAATAATGGATTTTTTTACTGGACTTAATATTATGTTTTATTTATTTATTTTTCTTTTTATTATATTTTATTTTTTTTATGGTAAAATTGATTTTACATTGCTAATTTTATCTTAAGTTAATTAATTTAATTTCATAATATATTATTTAATTTTATATTATTAAAAAGTATTTCATTTACGTTGTATTTATTTTATTTTAATTTATTTTAAATTGTTATTCATTAATTTTACATAACTTAAAAATTTTTACTTTATCTTTTTTACCTTTTTTTATTTTAATAATTTTAATTAAGTATGTTTTATATCGATTTCTATTCCTTTTTTATTTATTAACTTTCTTTTTTTAATTTTTTTCTTATTTTTGTGTTTTATTTCTTTTATTTGATTTTATTTTATTTAGCTTACATTATTTCAGCTTATTCTATTTATTTTTATTTTACGTTCTTTTATTTGTATTATATATATTATTATAATTTATAAATTATTGATTTTATTTTGTTTCTTATTTATTATAATTCAATTATTAATTTTGTTTTATATTTTTTATTTATTTTTATATTTTTTTTTATTTTTTTTTTTTATTTTGTTGCTCATTCCAATTGAAATTTTTGTTATATTTAATGTCTTTTATTTTTCCTTTATTGCTCATTCCAATTTAATTATATTATATATTAAATTTTGCATTTTTTTATTTTATTTTACTTTTATTATTAAAGTTTCTAATTTTTGTTTTATTTTAACTTTTTACAAAATTTTTATTAAATTTCATTTTTTGTCATTTAAATAATTTTATTCATTTGTTTTTGTGTCTTTTATTTTAATTTGGTCTTTTAATTCATAGTTTTATTTATAAACATTATTCTTTTCATTTTTTTATTATTGTATTTTATTTTGTTTCAATTTTTTTTTTATCTCACTATTTTGTTATTATTATTATTTGTTTATTTATTCTATTTTAATTTTGTTTATTTTGATTTTAGCTTTTATTTTATTTTAATTTGGTCTTTTTATTTTTTCTGTTTGTTATAAATATTATTCCACTCATTTTTTTATTATTGTATTTTATTTCATTTTAATATTTTTTATTTTTCTCCATATTTTATAAATATTTTTTTTTTTGTTATTTATTCTATTTTAACTTTGTTTATTTTAATTGATTTTTCCTTTCATTTCGTTTTTTCTTTTTTTCACTTTTTTTAAATTAATTTATTTCTTTAATTCATTAAGTATTATTTTATTTTCGTTTTTTGTTTAATAATTAAATTTATTTTACTTGGTCTTATTTATAATATATACAATATTTTAAATTAATTTTATTTGATTTTTTATATTTTTTTATTTATTTTTTTTTATTCTATTTAAATTTCGATTCTCATTAATTTAATTTAATTTAATTTAATTTATTCTTCTTTAATCCACGTTATATGTTTTTGTTATACAGATTTTTTTACTTGGTTTATTTTATTTTCGATTCTCATTAATTTAATTAAATTATTTTTTTATTTTTTTTTTTAAATTTTCATCATTTTACTTTAATTTTATTTTTTATTTCATTGATTTTAAATTATTTTATTATATATTATTATTTTTTAATTCATTATATTTTATTTAATAAATCAAGAGCCTGAATTTGAATTATATACATTTTTTTAGGTCCATGTTAATCTGATGATAATGGAGGCGCGTAATCAGGCCGAATTGCTTTATGCGTTGCGTGAAATAATGCGCTACAGGACATGATCTCATTGTTATTAAACATACACACACACATATATATATATAGCACGTATATACGCATATATTTATATGGAAAAACAAAAAAAAAACACAACAACAGCTTACAAACAAAAAGAGAGATATGAGATAATAATGATTGTAAACGAAGGAAGAAAAGTTGATTTCCTACGATTAAGTACACCTACATACATATATACACACAAACACATATATAACATACATATTCAAAATATTATTGCAATCAATTTAATACATAAATAATAGCTAATGCATACAAATACATATAAAAACAACGCAAATAATTAACCAAAAAAATAAAACCAATTAAATTTCATTAGAAACAAACAAAAAAAAACAAAAACAAAAACAGAAAGAGAAAGAGAAAAACAAACAATGTAAAATAACACCAACACAATTAGTTAGAAGTATTTATAAGAAACTACAGAGGATACAAAAGAAATGTGAGAAAATAAAAAGAAAAACAAATTAATTTTATCCTTTGCGACACCGATATGCTAGTACATACATACGTACATACATGCATAATATTTACGTGGACTCAACCAGCAAGGTATACCAACAAAACCTACATACATATATACATATATACGCGTTGCATTAACATTTACAAATGGACATGTCTGAGACATGTCTTAGATAACAAAAGCAAAAGCAAAAAAAAAACAAAAACAAAGAGAAAATAAGATAACTTAATTTAACCCAAAAAATATTAAATAAATAAATATAAAAACAAATGAAAATAGGACTGTCCACTATCAACGTAAATAAATGTTTAATTAATTAGATAAAGAAAAATGTAATTTTAAATTTTATAAATTCTAGCATAAAACAATTAATTAGCAAACAAATTTTTAACAAATTGTTTTATACACGACGAAGAAACTGTAGAGAAGGAAGAAGAAGAAGTTTTTGTTATTATTTTAGGGTAATACTATGTATTTAACAAATAATGTATTACTGTGAATTGAATTTTCTAATCGATATACATATATATAGACAAAACAAGAAAAAAGGATTAGCAAAGCAAGAAAAACAAATTTTAATTGAAACGTTGATTTGTGTGTTTGTATGAGTAAGAATGTTCTAATTGGCAAGCAAAGTATACTACATATACACATATATATATATATACAAATATATTTTGTAATGCCTAATTGTGTTGTTAATAGTTTTTTATACTTATGATAAACAAAAACAAAAAAATATATATATATTACTATAAAAGAAACATAAAAACAAACCAACAAATACATATGCATACACATATAAATATATATAATATTGTTATGATCAAGCAGGCGGTGCTGGTGCTGGTGCTGTGGCCAAAAGCCAAAGCCAAGCGCCACTACAGCACCCAGCACCTAGCACCCAGCACCGCTGTTAACTGTATTCATTTCCTTTTGTAAAGTTTATAAAGTTACTTGTTACTTTTTAAAGAAGAAAATTAAAGAAAAGCATAAGTGATTTTAACAAAATTTTGGAATGTGTTTCAATTGTTTAAAAACAAAAAGGTGAAAGGCGTGCTGAGCAGCGAGTTCTTGTTCTTTACATAGCTTACGCTATTATAGCCGAGTTAAGGTATAACAAGGTTTTATTCGAGGAGGAAAAAATTTTCAACAAGCAAAATATTTAATAATTTTTTTTCATAAAAAATAAATATTTTACTCAAACTGTTTAGGATATATTGGATGAGTGCATAAGTTCGTGCCCGATTCCGCTGGATGTCGTTCGAATCGTTTGAGAGTGGCGCTCGTGAAAGAAATATATACATATTATATATCGTTGGAAAGGTGACAGTCCGAACTGTAAATCAAGCATAAAATAACTTCATTTTGATTTGAGTTGCTTAGTGAAAAGACGCATGGAAGATGGACAACGAAAAAGATCATATGCGTCATATTATGTTATACGAATTCCGCAAAGGAAAAACAGTAGGCGCTGCAACTAAAGATATTCGCGAAGTTTATTTGGACCGTGCTCCAGCACTCCGCACAGTAAAGAAATGGTTCGCGAAATTTCGTTCTGGAGATTTTAACCTCGAAGATCAACCTCGCAGTGGACGGCCTTCTGAGCTTGATGACGATGTTCTAAGGACTTTAGTTGCGAATAACTCACGTATTTCGACGGAAGAGGTTGCCAGTGAATTGAACGTCAACAAATCAACTGCGTTTCGTCGTTTAAAAAAGGTTGGGTACACTTTGAAGATCGATACATCGGTGCCACATAAGTTGAGTAAAAAAAACAAAGTGGACCGTATGTCAACAGCAATTTCTGTGCTTCGACGGATCAAAAACGAACCTTTTTTGGATCGGCTCGTGACTGGTGATGAAAAATGGATCCTGTACAACAATGTTCAACGCAAAAGAACATGGAAACAGGCACACGAAGGGGCGGAACCGATGTCGAAAGGTGGATTGCATCCGATGAAGGTACTGCTGTGCATTTGGTGGGATATCCGAGGCGTGATCTATTTTGAGCTCTTGCCAGCTGGAGAAACGATCACTGCCAACAAGTATTGTCAGCAATTGGTCGAATTGAAGAAAGCAATTGATGAAAAACGTCCGATTTTGGCCAATCGCAAAGGAGTTCTTTTCCATCATGACAACGCCAGGCCACATGTTGCAAAACCGACCCTGGCCAAACTGAAGGAGATGAATTGGGAAATCATGCCGCATCCCCCATATTCACCCGACATTGCACCTTCTGATTACCATTTGTTTCGATCGCTGCAGAATAATTTGAATGGAAAAAAATTTAAAAATGTGGAAGACGTCAAAAACCACCTTTACACCTTTTTCAACGAGAACCAGCGCGATTTCTTTGAATCAGGCATCCGTAAATTGGTTGAACGTTGAGACTGGATTGCCGAACATGATGGCGAATACATAATTGATTAATAAAAGCGCTTTCTTCAAAAAATTTAAATTTTAGTTTCTACTTGAAATCGGGCACGAACTTATGCACTCATCCAATCAATGCATAAATACATTTGAAAATAGATTTCTGAAATTTTCAACTGAAAATATTATTAACTCCGCCATTGTGACGTCTTTTTTTGTGGTCTCTCGAAAAAAAGTTACGTCGGCATTGACAGTCGAATTCGTGGGAGGATCGTACGAAGTGCGAAGTTAATAACATAAACTGAAAATTGGATGAAAGGAAACAAAAAAGCGAAAATTGAATTTTTTTGCAGACTTTTTTTTACAAAAAATGCGATATTTAGTCAAACTTACTGAACAATTTTTGATTTTTTTGTTTTAACTAAAAAAACACAATCGATTTCTCTTGAATTGTACCCCGAAGACGTTTGAAGAATTTAATCAAAATCTTTTGAGTAGTTTTCGAGAACTTCTGCCAACCGACTTTACAGATACAGTTTCGAGAAAAACGCACTTCAAGCTTAAAGCGCTGAATTGACCTTTGAGCGCATGGCTCTAAAGTTTTATTTTCGAAAATTTTATTTAGGTCGTCTTGAAAGATTAGAAAAATATTCTCGAAATAAAAAAATCGACCTCTTAACAAGCACGGAGTGGAGCTCTTTTCTCTTCCTCTACTGCCAGTCTCGAGAACTGCGTCGAAATATTAAAAGCTGGAGTATTGTCGCCCTTAGAGATGACGTAATTCAGCCAGTGTCACGCTGTCGCTTAATTCGCTGAGCAATGTCATTGTTCATTGTTCACCATCACCTCGGCTTAACCCTCGTTTAATTTTGAAATCTCCTTTAGTATCAAATAGCTCGGTGAGGCCTTTCCGAACTCTAACGTAGCTATTAGTGTTGCTCAACGCCAGTATGCTCGATAGAACCTTCTACAATATTGGTTGTAGTTCCTCTATTTATGGATTGGGGAAAACACGCGTAAGTAGTGTGAGAAAAAACTAATATCTTCACTTTGTCAGTTTTTGTCGCCCTATTTATATAACTGAACTCAATTTCGTTATATTCGCAGCGTGGATCTCCGATTTGTTTAAGAACTTCTGAGCATTATCCTTGTCGTCCAGCCTCTGGCCATACTTACGCATTTTAACCTCTCGATCTTTCTGTCTGCAAATGTGTCTCGCCTTTCCGTTCAACTCTCAATATCTCTCCAACACAATGCGAGATTCTTGACAAGCATTCTTTGCTGTACAGAGGCGTCGTTCGTCTATTATAACATAATAGATCTAGTTACGCTGATCAGAGTCTTCTTTTCTCGCAATGTCTTTATTTTACATAAAATTTACTCGTTTCCATTATTATACCGTCAATCGCACTGCTTGGACAGCGGAGATGTCAGCATAGACTGGAGGAGAACATTAAGCAGCTGGACAGAGGTATTTTCCCAATCATGCTACCGGACACCCCAGGAGCATGCCCGCAAATCGTAGTCCTTATTGTATTTGTCATGTTCGTCATCAAAGCTCGATCCTCCGAAACTATTGTCACTTTTTCAAATCCAGTGCACAACCTCATTACTCGATAGTTAAAGCAAACCACTCGCTACAAAAGCCGACGCCCACTTGCAGCCGCACCACTGGCGAACAGAGACTGTAAAATTACTCTAGTGAACACTTGCCGAATATGTCGAAGTGGTTCCACTTACCCCTGTAAGGCATGCCTGTCGTAAGAGGCGATTGAAATCCAATAATTGCCGCGACAGTCGGTTCTCTATATCGGAAAGATTTATTCGGCCAAATACTGAAACTCTCGCAATATTCTCCGAAAACCAAAGAATAACAACAAGTGTATTCACTAAATCTGCCTCTCTTTTAGAAGTGACCCATAGGCTATACAGAGCACGGTTTCGCTCACGTGCGACGTAGGAGGTAAGAAGTATAGACTTGCAACTGTAACTAGATACATAGACCTGCTGCTGTGGACCTGGCATTAAAATACCTATAATTCAGTATGCCGACACAAAAAAAAAATAAAAAATTAAAAAAATATTAAAGAAATAGAAAAAAACTAAAAAAAACGTTGTTTTTTATTGTTATTTTATATTTACTATTTTTTTATACAATTACAATGATTTTAAAGTAGAATTTAAATTTGCTTTAAAATTTGTTAACCAAAATTCACTCACTATACATATGCATATATGTACGTGTGTATGTATAATTCACACATATGTTATACATCACTTGCTTTAAATATGTCTGCACGCGTGTATAAGTGAATATGAAATAAATCCATACTTATGTATGTAAATATGTATATAATTATTTATTTTTTTGTTTTCATAAAAGTTAGCTCCAACTTTTAAATATTTTTAAATTAATTAATTATTATCAAAAATGATCGTTAACATACAAACATTTATAGACAAATCATAGATTTGTAGGTTTGTATGTAAATTACAAAGCTTTGCACGCGCACAACGTTCATAATTGGATGTCAATGAGAGTAAATATGTTTCTATGTTTTTGTATTTCCTTTACAAATTTTTCAGTTTTTTTATTTTTATTTATTTAATTTTCTTTTTTTTTGATGTTTGGTAAGCCTATCGATTATCGTTAATTTTACAATATTTAAAAAATATTATGCATATGTGTTTACATACGACATGACGCCTAAATATATGCAACATATTTTTATATTTTGATTTCGTTATGTTTTTTTTTTTTAATTTCGATTTATACAAATACTTCAGTTTTCCAGCTTATTTTTCTTTTTAAAATAATTCATTAAATTTTTTTATAATTCTTGTTATTTTTTTTTATATAGTAACTCAGTTAATATGGCTATGAACAAAACGTTTAAGTAAATTAGCAGGTTTTTTTTATTAATTCACCCAGTAGAAGTCTACAAGTTAATTGTATTTTAAAGAAAAATAAAATAAAATAGAATAAAAGAAAAATAGCAATATTTTAATAACCAAGTGAGTGAGAAAACAGTCAAAAAAATTATAAACCCATACGAATCGTTAGTTCCCGTTCAACTCCCCGCGTGAAAGCAATGTCAAATTAATAGCGTTGGCCTTAAGTTGCGAAACGCATATGTTCGTCTGAAGCGCCTAACTTCTAAGCTTAACAATATTTTCATTTAATTGAATTTAAAATCTTTTTCTATTATATATTTATATTTATATTTACATATGCGTATATCCCTTGCCAAAATATGACAAAATTTGCGTATTAGTTCTATGCGCGGAGAAATGTCAGTAAGAATCAGCCACTGGTGAATTTATTGGCATTTCGCCTCACCGCCAGTTGGTTCAATAAAAATTTGTTAACAATTGTTACTGCGCATCAGCCCAACGAACGGGTCTGTTTTGAAAATATAGAGCATGAATCTAATTATAAAATGGCTTAATAGCCGAAAATCTCATCAGCGATTACAAAGCGCCAATTATTTATGTATATTTATTATATATAATAACGATTTTTGCTAGATATAAAGGAATTTCTGTTTTTAAGCAGCAATAAATGTTCAACTTTTTTTTTGCTTTTATATTTTTTTAAAAACAATTTTTAAAGCGAGCGAGTTTTTTCTCAAATCCAAATAGATTTTGCAAATCTTCTTTTACACATCAATTGTATGCATGTACACCTGCTTAAAAATTTGTATTTTTTGCATATATTTCTTAATCATCTTTTTTAATTAAAAGCACTGAAATTTAATCATTTTGTATCTGAATTTCCCATAAACGATTGGTTTTTAAAAGGCAAAAGATTTTCTAATACAAAGTGCTTTCATATTTTTTATATATACACTTTATTTATGCCATTTTTGATGTGCTCCCATAGCAAACTTTCATTCATAAACATCGGTTTCTCATTGCTTTAGCTATGAGAAGCGAGTTTTTCTGAATATCAAGCTCAGATTAAACACTTTCAACAAGGCAATCAAAATCAAGAACCGAAAAATATATTAAATTAAAAATAAAAAGTGCTTTATATATATTTTGTAAATATCTTATGAGTGAAGCACATTTACTTGCACATTTTAAAAGTAGCATTTCTTTAACTTTACCTTGTTTGCTTACATTTTAACGAATTTTACCTTTTCATAATGAATTCTCTCGCAAAATGCATATATATATATATATTTACAAAAGCGAAAGTAATTTAAGCAGTATGTATGTATAGGCAAGCGCATTACAAGTAATACATCATACATATTTACAAAAAATTTTTGAGTCTAACTTCGTAAGTAAACACTTAACGATAGCTTCCGTATTTGTTCTAACAATTTTGACGTCTTTTTGCGTACGTATATATATATATGTATGGGTATATATATATATGCCATAAAACGTTCTTAAAAACAATTTAATCGTTGAAATAAACAAAGAAGTCACATGAAACGCTTTCGAAAATAAAAAGAAATTGAGAAAAAGAATCTATAATGTTATTTTAATATTAATACGAAAATAAGAATTATAATAAAATGTATAATAAAAGTACAAATAATTACAAAAAAAAAGTGGCTGTGGTAGATTTGCAACAAATTACGCTTAGCACTGAATACAAGTTATTTATATGTATATATGTATGTATATTAGCATTTAGTATATAGTTATTCTATGGTATATATTGCAAGTACATACATATATAGTAGTTGAATTGACTACATAAATTTCGATATGTTTACACCGTTATTGCTAAAATTATCGTTTTGTTTTCTATTTTTTTTTTTTTTGCCTTTTCACACCCTTTTTCAGCCGACACATTCACATTTTGTTATTATTTTTCTACATGATTCACACTCTTTTTACATTCAAGATGTCACTGCAGCTGTAGTGGCTTGATTTGTTCCTGGGGTTGCTGCTGCTGCTGCTGCTGCTGCTGCTGCTGTTTGTGCTTGTGCCGTTATCGCTGCTGGTGCCCCAATCCGTTTTGGCGATGAGGTCAACACTTTCTCCTTTGGTTTACCCTGTTCATCTTGGAAGAATATCTTTGTTATGACAATATCGCCTGTGCTCAGTGTTTGTGATGCCGCATCGGCCAATTTCACAGCCTTCTTTTCAGTAGCATTGGTCACACGCATTGTTGGTGTAATGCTACGTTCACAATTGCAATTGCAGTTTTTGCCACTGAAATATAGTAGAAATAAGTAAAGAACAGATAATTCAATATAATTGATTGTGTTACTACTAACTTTTTTGTCTTCTCCCGCACAATTTGCACATTATCGGTGGCGGATATGCTAGAGCCCAATTGTTCCTGCATCGTGTTGGAAGTTAGAATCTGTTATAAGGTAAAAAGAAAACTTTTGGTGAATATTGTGAGGTTTTTAGTTTTTATTTAAGTCTAATAATGTTGTTGTAGTAATCGCTTTAATATTCCCCAAATTAGTTTTCGGTGTATAATCCAGGTCGTTCCGGTATAAAGACCCGACTTTCTCGAGAACTATTGTATTTTAGTCGCCTCTTACAGGCATGCCTTACCGCGGGTACATTTTCAACCACCTGATATGATTCTGAGTTAATTTTAAGCAGCGGCTTATACGTAATTATATAATACATTTAATAAAATTTGTAATCCAAGTAGTATAGGTAATCAATGGCTAGACGCTTCATAATGAAGCGATTTTCTGCCGAGCTCTTCCTCAAATTGGAGTTTGTGTTCCAAAAAATTATGGATTTTTATGAGGAGCTTTAATTTTATATCAGAATTATGCTCGGAGGATATAACATTCCTTGCCGAGGAGCGAATGCAAAACTAGTCGGCAACTGAGCCCGCCAACAGTTTTTATCCTTGAGGCCTTATAAGTACTCACCTCATATATATTCAAAACATTTTTGTGAACCACACGCCAAATATGCTCTATAACTAACTGTATATGCCACTACTGATTATCCTTTGGTTAGGTGCTCGCATATCAACGACAAAACTTTAGATGTTTCAACAGGTCGACTTTGAAAAACTTTAAAAAATATTCGATATTTTAATCTTAAATAATTTTATAGAGTAGCTGTTTTACCAGTGAAACCAACACAACACACCACACTAAATCAAGGCAAATTAACGACGTGGAGAAAAGTGTACATTAATCAGAGAATTCGGTAAAAATGCCGAATCACAAAATTGTAAAAGAAAAGTCTTCTCGAAATACTTAAGTTTGATTAATTTTTTATCTTTTTTTTTTTTTGAAGACTCCCGGCAAAGTTAAAAAAAATATACAATGTGACGATTCTCTTACCCAATCTCTCGATACTATCCTCTGGTGGCCAAATAAATAATTTATTGTATTCTCTATTCTTATAATTTGTATGTATACTTCATCTTCGAATTACCATGTAAACAATAAGACAATCCAGTCGTCATCGAGCTCAAAAGACTTTAAAACATATGTCACACGCTCTAGTATGTCAAAGTCATAATTTATACCTTTCATAAAATGAAATGATATATTAACTTTGGCCCGAAAAATATAAATATCAGAAGGAGAAAAAGAGATAGACCCATCAAAATGTACACGGATATGATCAAAATGACGAGGTGAGTTGATTTAGCCATGCCCGTCTGTCCGTCTGTTTGAACAAAAACTTCTCCACACAGTTTTTCCACATATTTTAATCAAGCTTGGTAAGCAAATAAGTCATTCGTCGGTACCGGTCATATGGTGTCAATATAATATATGGCCCTATACAACCGATTTGTTAAGATATCTGATTTTGGGTCATAAATACTTCAATAAGTCCTCTATTCTACGTACATTTAATGAACTTCTTGCTACTAAAAATAATAGAAATTGGAGAACTATATCGTACAGCATCCGTACAACGAGGTTTTCAAATACGAGGTTTTTGGTCAACAATACGTCAAAAAAGTATTTAAGGGCAAGAAATCTATAAATAAACACTCTTGTTTTTTGGGTTCACTAAATATTCCTCCTGGTTATCTGACAACATCTAGTAACTAGTTTACTTTATATTTACGGCTTCCATGACTAATTAGGCATCGAAATGGGAAAAGCATCTTAACTATCAACGTTTCAAACGCTCGAGCTTTTCCATTGGCGCTTTTTTTTTTTTGCTTTTAAAAATATGTACACGCCCTAACATTTGAAATAGAAAACATAACAAAACAGTTTTTTCTTTTAGATCCTCTAGTTACTACTAATTTAGCAATCTGGGTTCCCATACTAGTATAATTGAAAAAAAATCAATATTATTTTACAAAATATGCCACTTCTGAAATGTTTAATTCTCTATTTGAACTACTCAAGTCCAAATAATCCCAATAACTCGTTCAAAATTCTCAAAAAGTAATATCTATTGTATGTACTCACTTGATCATTTGGCATTTGTGTCACAGCCGACAAAATGGCTTCCAGTTTATCTAACTTCACTACACGATCCATCGATTGATCGGACAAAATTTCATCCATCATATGCATAGATTCAGCCAAACTAGGTGGCTCTAAGCTGAAACGTGGCGAAAATGTGCCGGGCAATGAGTTATCTGATGGCACTGAGTCGAGACTTGGGAAATTATCAATCTCATTTGGTTCTTGATCATCCTCTGAGTCACTTTGATCCCTAGAATAGAGAGAAATATATTTAAAGCCATAACGTATTGTGTGTTAATAACTTCCAACCTGGTTTGATTGCCAGCCGATTCCATTTTTTCAAATTTCTTTGCTACTTTATTATTATTACGTTTTAGACGATCTTTTTCCTCCTCTGTCAAGTCCATATAACTGCAAAATATGTTAAGTGAAAAATTAATGCAAACCAAATTGTTATACTTTTACTGCTAACTTTTTATTTACTTCTGTGCATATACATATATGTAGTTATGTTTAGACCTACCGTAATAAGCGAATTTCACGATTCGACAGCACAATACTCTTATTTGATTGCTCCAGTTTCTGTTTGAGGTCAGCAACCTCGGTGGTCACTTTACGTTGCTTCTTACGTGTTTTCACCTCATTCGGTTTGATCTGTATGAGTATTTGTTCAGTGCATAACTCAGAGAAAAGCTGACGATTCTCTGGTTTTATTTGCCTGCGAAATGAAAAATTCATTACAATGTGTAAGAGTTAGTTTATAGAAAATAATTTGGATTTGCTTTGTTGTACAGCCAACTGTTTGGTGGTCTTACTCACCGCGCTAAATTTCCATAGAGTTGATCGTTGATTAATACAAGCACATCGCCGGCTGCATATAGCAACATATCACGTGATAATGGCCTTTTGGCCCAATACTTTTGATCGCGGCGATAAATCTGTTTGAGTTGCTCCTTAATCGGATTGATTGGGGCATTGTATTGTTCACAGAGTGTATTCAACGAGATGTATTTCGCTTTATACACCTGTTTGCCCGTTTCCTGATACTGTATGATCGCGTAGGCAGCCTAGAAAGTGAAATTGAGATTATGAAATTGCATAAACAAAACAAATCTGGCTTTGGCTATACTATAATCACTGGGACCATTGATTTATTATAAATATTTAGATGCGGAAATATACTTTATTCTTCATCTAAAAGTCTCAAAAATGTTTTTATGGATGTGAGTGAGGGCTACGCGAAAGTATGTGGTATTAGCAAATCCTTTGGTTTATAGGATAATTGTAGTATTTTTCGGGCAGATCTTGGTGCTATAAATGATATTGACGATCGTACAATCAAAACGATAATCTCAAAAATGGTATCCATAACTTTTGGAATAGCCAAACCGCCTTAAGAACACTGCAATCTGAAACAATAAAATCGGAAACAGTAAAGAATTGCCGCCGATGACTTCATAAGAGGGTGGTTTCCATACCACTTACACCTCATGAAAGGGTTTGGGCTAACCAATCTCGAATTATAAGCTCACTTCAAGGGAGTAATTCAGCTCAGTTGCTAACTTAAGATAGAAAACTCTCAAATACTGAAACGTGATTTGTATAATGTAGCTGACATGGAACATAAGAAGGTCACGAGAGCTTATCTCGCTAAAAAGGATGATGACGTCCAAAACTATGGGTCTCTTTATAGGGCATATTCTATTTGCAGACACCCAGAGAAGATGAGCGCAGCTTCAAAGAAAGTTATAGAGAGCAGGAAGAATTTTGAAAGCTTAAGGTACTGCTTTTGAGGGCCGCAACCCTAAGACTGGAGCGAAATAGCGGGTGCATACATATTAAATACGCAGTTTTACAAAGCCGACGCATTGGTTTCACTAGCGCCGAGCATTAGGATCATCAGTGGTATGACAATGGGCCAATTTGGCGGACTAAGTGAGCTGACAACCTAACCTACTCTATATACAAAATATGTGCCCGAAATATCAAATTTCAGCACTTCATCAAGTGGGGTAAAGAGATAATCCAAATCGATTGGATGAAAATTCCGTTTAAGATTTTTACATAGAAGCAAAGAGATTTTAATAAACCAACGACAACAACGAATTACTAATTTGTATTTATTCGAAATTTAGTTTCGCGAAAGTATAATTTTTGCAACCATTTAAGCAGAGGTTTACTAATGGATCCATTTAAGACTTAATTTCTTCTATGAAGCTAAAAATTGATAGTTCATTCTTTAGTACAAGCTAACTCGACGTTGCAAAAGCGGCATTTGTTCTCAAAGTATTTACGAATAGGGGCGAAAATTGTTTATCTTAAACATTCGGGTTCGTCATCAATACATTAATATCGCAAGCATGATGGACTTACTATATCCCTTCTCTTTGTACAATTAAAACTATGAGTATACATGAAGACGGATATGGGTCAGATGGAATGGCCTAACCGGCAGCCAGATCGTCTGATGTCACACGGGAACTACTAATAATGCTACATGCAAGAAATGTAGAGAGACAGACATGAGGGAGATGCTGAAACACCTTTTATGTCTCTGCTCGACCTTATCGAGTACACGTCCAAAACATCAAGAAATCCCACAGTTCAGAAAACTCGAATAAGTCTCCAAACAAAATATCATGGCGCTCGTGTATTTCTCCAAAAACTATTGTACAATGACCTAACTAAGCAATCTGTTATACCATTTCATAATCACGAATGACGAATCATATGAACCGTGTTTCGATTTCCCAGGTGTTAAGCATAGGACAAAAACCAGTTAGAAACCACTTGAAAAATGCAGGATGCACAGAGAATAAAAAATCTGCTGGTGTCTGCTGAGAAGAAGTGGATAATTTACGACAACGTCAAACGAAAACTATCCTGGACATGGACGAAGGGCGGTGAGCCGACATAAAGGTTTTGTTTCTGTGTTTGGTGACCTGTAATATCAGCAACTGGTTCGTCTGAAGGAGGCAAAATCGCCTAGAATCCACAGACTTTGGCCAACAGGTGGGGAATTGCATTTACGGACAACACCAGATCACGCACATCGATAGAGATTCAGAAGCTCCAAGAGAATCAATAAGAGGCTCTTATGCATACACCTTACAATGCGGAACTCGCACCAAGTGATTACCATCTGTTCCTGCTTATGGCGAATGATTTGGCTGATGAAGAATTGGCCTTAAGAGATGCCGGTGAAAATCAATTTTTACACCCCCCCCCCCCTTCCCTCCTTCCACCACGCTCCCGGAAAAAAGGGTTTCCCTGAGAGAGACATAATGACTTTACCTTCAAACCTGCAAAAAATTATCGAGCAAACAGTGCAAATTGGAAATAAATCGGATAATTCTAACCATGTTAAGTAAATAAAGCCTGTCATTTAATATAAAAAATAATAGATTCTTGTTACTAAACGAATATATGCGTATTTATCGTATGCGTATGCGTACCTGCGTATCGAAGACATTGCGCAAAAGTATGCCAAATTGTAGATACAAATTCGCAGCATCGTTACGGCAATCATGTATGACCTTGATCACATTTTCATGTTCCAAAAGCGTCTTCAAACCGCCATCATTGATAATCTCCGGATCGGTGAGTACATCGAAAATGAAGGCCTCGCCACGGGACGTACCTATCTCGATGAGCGTAATTTCGCCTTTCAACCCCAAATTGATGCCTTCGCAATCGAGCGAAATGACAATACTCTGATTGTTTTGTGCAAACTTCAGCATCGCCTCGGTGACGAACTTGGAATGTTTCACATTCGCTATGACGGTTGTATTTTGCAGTACCTTAATCTTCCAGGTGTCGCCTACAAAGTAATTGTGACTAGGTGAATGTGGCGCATTGTTGCTGTTGCTGTTACTGTTGCTGTTGCTGTTACTGTTACTGTTAACGGTTGTAGCATTTAGAGTGGAGTTTGCATTTGCGGTGGTATTGTTGGTATTGGAATGTACAGGACTTGTATGGTTGGAGTTTGAATTTTGTGGATTATAGCCAACGGAAGCACCGCCCACTTGATTGGCCAGCGATTGTTTATCCTTTTCGTAATTCTCCGCCAAAGTGCGTATCACTAAGTTATTCACACGCTGCTTCAACGTCTGATTGAGACTATTCGGACGCTCTGTGGGCGTTTGTATTGGTATGGCAGGGTTTTGTATTATATTTAAATTATTTTGACCACTCGAGGGCGATTGGTTGTTATTACCGGCTGGTCCGTAAGAGGAGGATGTATTCGGACTGGGACAATTGCGTTCACAGAGATTATCCAGATGTACATCCGACATTTGTATGAAACTGTCAAAGCCCGAGTTGGGCTCCGAACGGGTTTGTGACGTATTTTCAGCCACTGCAGCGGGTGGCGATGTAATTGGGCTCGACATATTTGATACTGGCGCATTTAATTTGAAATTTGGTGATGTAATGCTGTAATTGTTGTTATTGTTGTTGCCGGTGTTGTTCACAATCGGACTTTGTGGCGATGAAGTAGTAATATTATTGTTACTCACAAAATTACGCAACGCCGGCGATTGTAAACGTTGCTGTACGGTACTCAACGCGGGCTGCGTCGGTGATGGCGTTTGGTTCTTCAAAGCCATATTATTGATGTTGTTATTCATCGAATTGTATTGTTCGCGTGAACGCGCTTGCGCTTGCTGTATATAAGCATCGCTCAGTTTGGGCTTGTGCAGCAACGTGACTAGATTGGCTTGTATGTGAAAGCAATCGGAGAAGAGCTTCAGAAAGGTTGAGAGATCGTTGGGCGTCTTAAACATGCGCAACCATTGTTCCTGTGGAAAGCGCGCAGTGAGCAAATGGAATAATTGATCCACCAAAATGGGACCTTTCGTTTCGATGCATTGCGCAAAGAAATCCAACATTTGCTGTGTGGCTTTCGTATCGATATTACTCTGCGGCAAATGGAGGCGCTCTTGTGCCGGCAAATCGGTCATATCATCGCAGCCAACGAGCATAACATGATCGTCGACCACTTTGAACGTGTCCGTATGCTTTTGCAGAAACTCAGTGAACTCTTTGATGTGTTGGCCTAATATTGTGGAAGAGAATGAAATTAAAAATAATAATAAATTTGAGCATTTATAATTAAGCATGTGCAGTGGATGAAATGAAGACCTGCGAGCTTTATTACGCACCTGAAATATGTCGCACCTGTGGTGATGCCTGCGAACGATGCCCCAGCAAACTGCGTACTGGCACTTCAACTCCAATGCCATATTGCAGCATTTTATTCTTAAAATAGTCTTTAGCCTCTTTTATATAATCACGTCGTCCGCCAAAGCCGCTTTCATCCTCCGATGCGTGTTGATAAGTGTTCACCTTCACATAGTCACCATCCACAAGAAAGATTGAAGGATGTTGGGCAAGTAGTTTCTTCAAGCCTAAAACGAGTGGAAAGCAAACATTTATAAGCATATTTTTTATTCATTAATTTTTCAATAGATTAAACTATCTGCATACATACAATACATGCAGAAGATAGTGAAAAAATTAATTCAAATTAATTATCATAAGGAACAAAAAGTCATATAATGAGCTGAAAAATAGATTTTAATATTTCTTAGATATTTTTCATATTTCCTTTAAGTTTTTGATTTGCTGTTGTTGTTGCCATCGTATTTAATCCATTATGTGAAGAATCTTCACAAATGGTCGAGTTTTTTTGATGTCTGTTTCATGATAGTGAGAACCGTCTCTAACTGCCGGCAGAAAGTTATCTGTCACAGTACTGAAGGTGGTGTTTTGACAGGTTTGTAGCTTCTGCAACTGCGTCTTCCTTGTACCCGGTGCCCAGATCGGTGCAGTGTAGTTTACGACAGGACGACCAATTGCTTTGTACGTTGCCAGCAAAGTTTCTTTATCTGGTGCTGTCGGCTAAAACTTAGAAGATTTTGTTGCGGCTCTGGAGTTTTGCGACAATTGCGGTCCTACGCGAAGTGAAGGAGTGCAGACAGTCGAATATGACACCCAGTAATTTTGCAGTCTGAATTTTGATGCATCCGACTTTCATTTCGAGTTCGATCCTGTACTCCTTCATCCAGCTGGTGAATAGGTTGGCCGAGGATTTTGAGGGTTGCAGTCTTAATTGCCTAGCAGTGAATAAACAAGAAAGGCCGTCCAGATAACAGTTTACTTTCAAACAGAAGTTATCAATATCCTGGCCAGATGTCAATATCGAGCAATCATCGGCATATGCGATCAGGGCAACCCCTTCTGGTGGAGGAGGAAGCGATATGTAGAAGTTAAACAGTAATGGGGAGAGTACACTACCCGGAGGAATCCCTTTTTTAAACTTCCTTAATTTCGTTGGATGACGACCACTCAGGTAGCCCATGATCTACCTCTTTAACCCCGACGGTAATGAGGATTCCTTAATGTCCGAGTTAAGGAGCAAAATGCTTTGCTGTGCAAGCTATTTCTGCTGAGAGGCTACCCTAACAAGCATTTATTAAAAGCACAACCACCACCCAAGCACATCAGAAGAGGAGTACTTGCATTCAGCAACATGTGCAACAACAGCTGGTCAAGATGACGTATAGACATCACTTAAAGCCAATCACCAAGACTCAGTGAATACCCTCAAGAACTCTCTACCTGTGAATGACTTCTTCGAAGTCCCACCACCACCAATGGCAGGTGAAGAGCGTAACACTGGCGGAACGTAGGTATGTATATTGTAGCAGGTTACTTATCAATACAATACGTGGGGTCTCCTCACGACACTAACTGCCTCTTCGTATGCGCCCTAAAACCAATTCATCTAACCCGCTCTCTCTCCGGACTGAACCCGTTGACGCGACAGTTTTGCTTATTGATGTAACCATCGAGGTGAAAATGGGACTCATCAATCAAGATAATTATTCTATGAAAATTTTAAGGTATATAATAATTTCAATGCGTTGTTGAAGCATGTCATCGACCGGAAAAGCCGAATTATTTACCAAAATCTGTTTCCCAAAGATTCCAAGTGGCATTGTTTTTGGTCAAGATCTGCCACGCTTTCTTATCCGGTCTAGAAAAACCAGAAGTGACGATGCAGTTCTTCAGGGCAATGATGTCATTATCGAAGCAAGTAATTTGGTTCAATCAGTTCATTGTCGATGTGTGAAGTCTTTCACTCAAAACACTCAGTAGAACTTTAAACGCGAAGTTAGATTTCCATCGGTTCTCATTTGCCGAAATTTCGCAGATTTTTTTTTTTTAATTTAATGCTCAGCCGGTTAGCCATAGATTTCCCTCCGAGTGTATTCCTGATATGAAATAAAAGCTCCTTATTAAAATAAGAGCGGTTAGCATTGCGCACTGGCATGCGGAAGGTTCGGTTTCAGATACTTGTAAAATACGTTTCAAATAAGAAAATAAATTAAATTTTCCAATTGCGGTCGCCACTAAGCAGGTAGTGGCAAGGCCTTCGGGTATATTTCTGACATGAAATAAAGGCTCCTCATAAGAAACTATCAGCCGTTCAGAAGCGGCTTAGTACACATAGTCTGTAGGTCCTCCATTTGCTGGAAAAAACGCAAAGACGCAAATCCACAAATTGGAGGAGGAACTCGGCCGAAAATCGCTTCAGCGGTTACCAAGCACCAAGTACGTATTTCCATTGAACCAGCATTATGTGTACAGGATTTCACTAGCAATATTTTTTTGTAAACACCTACGATTTTATACACATTTCAAATTCATTATTTGATTAGCGTTAGTAGTAATTGTTGTGGGAACGCGACAAAAACAACAGCTGACTATCTGGCTACTCTGCAGTCGACCAAAGTTTAAAACAATCAGTATATTATAATCTACCAAATTTTTTTTTAAATAGATATATATGCATGTAAACGCTCTCAAAAGCCGAAAAACCAGGCACGTCGATACAGTCAAACAACTTTAACAGCCGGTAAAATAGAAAAAAAAAACAGAAACAAAACGAAAACATAACTTACCACCGGCTGTTGTTACCTCGTGCTGCCACAATTGATATGACTGCTGGCAGCAGTGAAAACATAAATATATTAATGTATGTAGGTATGAATGAATATATGTATGGAAGTATGTATGTATGTGCTCTTAAATATAATATTCATAACATTACATTTAATCACACCCAACTTGCATATGAAATGGAACAAATGGGCATATCAACTTGTACATATTCGTCCAAACATATTGTACATATATGTATATGTATATCTCATAAACATCAGTCGCCACATATCACTTCACACCGATTTGGTTATAAAGTTATTGTTTTCATTATCGTTCATCAGAAACTTTTCATTTCATATATTGTACTTGTACATATATATTATATGTATGTATATACAATATTACCAAAAGTCCATTAGTTACTGTTAGTTTTTAAAACGATAGTTCGTCTTGTTGTTGTTGGTGTTCTATTTTGCCCTAAATTCCCTATCCTTAGTTACATTGTTTTGCCGCCATTCACTTTAACTTTTAACATACACACACACTCATACATACAAACTGTTTAAGCATTTTTTTTATATATCTACATAATTTAACCCGGCACAACTGTTTTGTTCGCATATTTCAGCTTTTCCTGTTATTGTTTTAAATTTGGTTTTTGTGTTTTGCATTTTGTAAAAGTAAGCATTGATTTTTCCCCAAACAATACACACACACACATACACAAATACACTTACAATCCATGCACAAACACAAGATGCACACATTAACTGCCAGTAAGTTTTGTTCAACTCAAGTTGTTGGCTGATACTGTAGTTTCCACCACAAACACTATTATTCCTTCTTTGTGTCTCCTTATTCTCGCTCTCAATCCAGTCAAGTTTGAAATATTTATGTATATGCATACATACATGTACATATGTATGTATATGAAGACAAAACCAATACGATTATTTTGCTATCGGCGAAAATCTGTTGCAGCCCCATTTAAGTTGCTGCTACTGGTTGCTGATTTGTTGCAGTGTTTGCTGTTTTATTATTCTTGTTGTTATATTCAACAATCACACTATGATAAATGAAAATGGAAAACGCCCGCAATGACTACAAACAGCAAGTTTTTCCATTATCTTTCATTTATAAAGTGGAGCGAGCGTGTCTTTTATTCTTCAAAACCAAGAAACATGTTGCCTCTTCATTACATTTAAAACACACCAACACACATACATGCGTAAACAGATGTACATGCATACGGGTACACGTATGGGCTGGCATGAAAGGAAATGCAGAAATGATATGAAGTTGAGCTGAGTGCGGAAGAAGTAGAAATGGAAGTTGTGGTAAAAGTTCATTGAACAAAAATGATAAAAAAAAATTAAAATTAATTAATAAAAAAATTAAATTAAATTCAAAAAATGTAATAAAACAAAATTAAATAAAACAAATTAAAAGAAAGTCAAATTAAAATGGTATAATCAAATGTAATGAATAATATGAAATAAAATTAAATTAAAAACGAATTAAAAAAAAAACTAAAATAAATAAAAAGGAATAAAGAAAAATAAGATTTAAAAAAACTGAAATTATGCGTATATCAATCAAAACCAAATAAATCGAAACATATTGCGAAAAATCTTTATATTATAAAATAGTAAATAATGAATAAATAAAATAAAACATAAAAAATGCAATAAATTCAAATAAAATATCAAAAAAAAAACAAAATAATTTAAAAAAAATAATGTAAAACAAAATGAAATCAAAGTTTAATTAATATCAAATAAAATAAAAAAATTGAATAAAACATAAATGAAAAACAAATAATAAATTTAAAAAAAAATTGATTAAATTAAATTAATAAATGCAAATAAAATAAATGAAATAAATCAAATTAAATGTAAAAAAATAAATTGGATTAAGGGTTTTGAAAAAAAAAAATTAAATAAGTTTATATAAAAAAAAATCAAATAAAATACTTATATTAAACTATCAAAATAAAAATAATTAAAATTGTAAAATCAAATATATGAAATAAAATTTAATTAACAACATCAAAAAAGCTGAATTACGTAAATAAGAATTAAATAAAATGAAATGAAAAAAAATTAAACTAAATCAAGCAAAACAAAATAATATAAAACACATCGCAAAAAAGTAAAAATAAAAATATACAAAATAATATCAATAAAATAAAACCAAAAAATAGAATATAAAAAATGCTATATCGAATAAAAGTAAACAAAATTAATTAACATCAGTTTTAAAAAATAAAATAAAACCAAAAAATATATATAAAATATGCCATATAAAATAAAACAAAATAAAATTAAATAAAGTCAAATTTAAAGATAACATAAATAAAATAAAATAATTTAATACAAACCAAAATTGTTAAAAAAAATAAAAAATATTGAATTAAAATTAAAAAACTTGAAATAAAATAAATTAGAAAAAATTAAAT